TTAAAGTTGCTTGGCATTTGTTTGATTGCATAGCCCTACTTTTAAACAGAGTGAATATTAGCTTAGAAGCCAGAATAAACTGTTGTTCAAGCCAGTTTTAAAAGTGTATTTAGAATAATTCTCATGTGACACATAATCTCTGGGGCAAATATAATTTATAATCATGTAATACCAATGTTACTAGCAGCATCTTTTGGTAGCCCAATTGCTTATGTAGATTTGAATTGCCATGCTTTTAAGTTTAATGGTAATTAAAACAAAATATGTGTATGTGCAGAGGGTGCCAAAAAATGTATACACATTTTAAGAAAGGAAAAAATTGAATTAAACTTGTAATACTCGATATATACCAATAACAAAAGATGAATACAAGTCACTTTTGACTTCTGCAATTACAAGAGGTGCTCAAAGTGGTTACCATCAGCGTAATTTTAATACAGTTTTTTCCTTTCTTAAAATGTGTATACATTTTTTTGGCACCACGTGTGTGTGTGTGTGTGTGTGTATGTATATATGTGTGTATATATGTGTATATATGTATTTATATATGTATATATATGTATAAGTCCAAATACACTCACACACATATATATACTATCCTTCTGTCAGTGCGGGTGGACTCCACTCCCAGATCTAGTTGAATCTGCGCTGATTAGACAGGACTTGGTGTCCGCAGGAAGCCCACTAGTTTCTGATCTCATTAGCTTTCAAATTTTCCCTTTATTTTTTGGAGCTTTTGCATAAATATTACATGGCAGTTTTTATTTTATGTTTTTATTAAGCTGATTGGGGGTAACATTGGTTAATACCATTACATAAGTTTCAGGCATACAACTTTATAATCCATCTGTATACTCTATTGTTTGCTCACCAACCCCAAGCCTAGTCTCCTTTCATCATCATGTATTTGATCTCCTTTCCTTTCCTCATCCTCCCCCCACATCCTTCCCCTCCAGTAACCACCATTATTTTGTCTGTGTCTATGAGTTTTGTTTTTTGCTTGTTTTGTTTATTCTTTTGTTGCTTTTTGTTTTATAACTCACATATGAATGAAATCATATGGTTCTTCTCCCTTTCCCTCTGACTTATTTCACTTATAATAATACTCAAGATCCATCTATATTGTCACAAATGGCACTATTTCATCTTTTTTATGGCTGAGTAGTATTCCATTGTGTATTTAGTATATACCACAGCTTCTTTATAGATGTCCTTTATCCATCGAAGGACACTTAGGTTATTTCCATGTCTTGGCTATTGTGAATAATGCCTATGTTCATTGTAGCATTAGTCACAGTTTTTGTTTTTAAATAAAGCAAATATGAAGCAGATAAGATTGCTTGAACTCGCCCATAGAGTTTCAGCAGCTGCAGAAGTCTCTGTAATGTAGCAGATGGGAGGTGACTACAGTGGCTTGCATGCATGAGAGCAGAACTATATTCTCTTCAGGACACTCACAGAAAGAGCAAGCCACAGACATGGAGAGCACATGGTTTTCAGTCTCTGCTTTCCTATTAGCAGGTCACCTTACCTCTTTGGTAAAGGGACAATACCTGCTTTGACTCCTTAAGGAGGTTGATATGAAAGTCGAATGACATATTGAACTTGAAGGTGCTTTGTAAGCAAAAATTATATAGGTAGATGGGTAGTTTTCATCTATTTCTTGTGTGACAGATAGGAATAACTAAAGATCCCTGGAACACAGCATCATACGGATGCTTCATGGAGGGCATGGTACCCTCTCCAAGAAGCCTCTCCATCCTCACTCTCCAGTTTGGCCATGGTATTCCTGAAGTTGTCCCCTTCTGGTATTGGTGTCATAAATGATCATTTTTGAGCCACTAATCTGACTATTTTTAATAAGGAAATCTCTTGTAATTGCACTATTTTCAGCCTATTTATTACATTGCACTTGGTGTGTTTCATGGATTCGTAGAACACATATGGGTACTTGAATGAACCTGCTCTACACAAGTCTTGATTTAGTTCTTCATATTATTTTTAACACTTTGGAATAATGGCAAACTTTGGTTCATTTTGAAAGTATTTTTATAAATGTGATTCCTAGTATGTGTGAATAGTTTTAGAGTTTACAATATATAATAGACATATAGAAGCACTTGAATAGAAGTATTGATCTTCAGGCTGGTTGTGAAACTAATCAAGTACTTATGCTAAAGCTCTTATCTGCAAGAGCCAACTTTGAGTGTCGGTAACTAAAAACAAAACCTAAGACTTCAAGGAAAGGAATTCAACTCTGACTGGCACCAGTAGATGGGGCTGACGGTTACAGTGGTCTCTTCAATCCCTGGCATCATATCGTTTTCATGTGTCTATGCTTAGTGTTGAGTTACTTTAAGAATATTAATAACCTATCATATCTGATAGGTGCAAAAGCAGTGAGTGTATTGAAAATGCTAGTAAGAAAAGGAATATGACAATGATAAAAAAATTAAGATTAAAAAAAGCAAGTGGTGAGAAGACAGTGTTGTATATGTATAGAGATGAATGTTAAAGGAATAATTCTTAAGAATAACTCATACAATATGGTTCAAGTTTTGTACCCATGCAGATCACAGCAATAGGCAAGTGATGGGGAAGAAATGTTTGATCAAGTAGACAACACTTTGGAAAACATGGGTTAGAAGAGCAACATCAGACACCTATTAGCCTGGTGCTAATTCAGGAAACAACTACAGTTTGTTCAGGAGCGTAAAGGCTGAGCATGGTGGAGGTGCCGCTGACAAAACCTTGCTCCAAAGCTCTGCTAGCTGCACGGGTCCAGGTCCTTCTGAAACAAATAAGTGGAGAGGCTGGGACTGCAGCTAGTGTGTTTGGAGCCTTATCTCCTGTACTTGAGGAGGTTACCTGCTTCTGATTTTCAACAGAGAAGAAACTGATGCCTTATAGATCTTATATCATTGAGGAAAGGGAGACTGAGCCATTTTTTCTAAAGTGGAGAGTGAGAGTGAGCCTGTTTTATACTGGAAATGCATTTGGAGACTGCAAGCCTGATCCTTTCAAAGTCACCTTTGACTTTTGAACGACAATCTTACACCAAACCTGTTGGAACAGTTCTAACCTGTTTATAAATAGAGGAACTGGTTACTGTGCTGTTCTATTTTAGATGCATAGCAGCTCTATATAATATTAAAATAAGAAAAAATGAGACAGAATATGCTACGTAGCAATTGTGAAACCTACAGGATTCATTACTTTGCCAAGTGATAAGCATAAGAAATCTTTGACCTGCAATTCAGTTTCTTATCATTATTACAATGTTGACGTAGTGAAAAAAGCATAAACTCTGCCCAAGCTGTATGATGCAAGTAAGCTACACAACTCCTCTGAGATTCACTTTCTTCATCTGAAAGTTGGGCATTATGTTGCCCATCCATACGAGATGTTGTGAGGATCAAAAATAATACTAAGTCACTAACACAGTGCCTGGTCATAGCAGGCCTCCAGTGACTAGTAGCTATTAATGGAATTAGCATTAATAGCACTCCCCATGATTAGTAAAAGAATCTCAGCAGAGAGCTTCGTGCCACCAGACATTGTAGTGGCCAGTTTTATCGGCTAAGATAGCCTAAACTTTTGCAACCAATAGACCAAAACAACAATGGTTAAAACACAATAGAAGTTCATTTTTTTCCCTTGTAACATCCAGGATGGGTGTTCTGATTCAGGAGAGCTCAGGTCTACACAGCCATTCAGGGATTCAGTCTTTCTGTGGCTCTGCTGTCTTTAGTGGTAGCGTGACTGCTATCATGATTCTAGCCCAGAGGAAGGGAAAGTGGCCTGGAGGTGTGCATGAAGGAGGTTTTAGGGCCCAGATAAAAGTGGCAAATAACCTGTTATCACCTGTATTATATTGGAGATAACTTATTCGTATAGGCACACCTAACTGCTAGGGAAGCTGGGAAATGCAGTGTACATGCCCAGCTACTGTGAAAACAAAGAAGGGCAAAGTTGAGGTAGCCATACTGGTTTATTATATAGCATAGTAATGACTCCAAAGTCCCCTCTGTGCTCCATGCTGAATCTTGGTACCAACCTTTGGCTGAAAATTTGTGGACAATTTCTGATCTATGCCAAAATTCAGGAATGAGTCCTCAGGCACAAGGCATAAAGTCATGGTAATGTGGGTTGGGGGTGGCTATATCAGGCTATACAGGGCATGTGGCTGCCCATGCCGGGACTTGGGCCAGACTCTGCACTCAAGCCAGGGACAGGGTGACAGGGTCCTGTGTAACTGACCTGGTTTTAAGAGGCACCTGGTGTGAAATGCCACCTCTGTCACAGTGCCAGAAGGATTGGCATGTGGCAGGCAGGAATGACACCACGGAATCCAGGCAGTGGATCTGGGAACCCCACTGGCAGGAATCGCCTCTTGGGAAATCCATCTAAGGTAGCAGAAATCCAGATACTGGGCTGGGTAACGGGGTCAGAGGAAGGAGAGGGTAGCAATATGATCAGGCAGGGAAAATGGGCAGAGTGCCCAGGCACCAAACTGGTATTCCAGGCATGCCTCCAGTCCTAGATGGGGAGCAAGGCTAATGCAGTTAAGTGGCAGAGACCAAGCATTTCTTTTGTCTCACCTAAAATGAGGGGTGAGTGGAGTAGGTATTAAGAGTGGAAGAAGAGAATTTAGATTAAGGAGTAATGTTGACATCTAGAAGTCATCCCAGGGGCCTTGGAACCTGCTGGGAGCAGGACACACAAAGCCATGTGTCATGAGCAACCCACCAGCTCCTGGCTCTTGGGAAGTAATTCATTTCTAAGCCCCACTGAGTGGAGAGGCTGAGGCTTCACATCTCTGCTTCCTTGGTCAGGATGGGCTCAGGAACTCAGTTGCTGGTGGGAAACTTTGGTGGACCCAGTTGTGAGGGTGGGGGCAGCATTAGGGGACGTAGAAAGGAGGGAAGCATTAACAGATTATTTTCTGAAATTGCATTGCAGCTCTAAATGGTATAAAATGTGTTTCATTTCATTTTTAGTCACCCTCCAGTTCCTCAGCATTTATTCAACAAATACTGGAAGAGTCTATCTATCGTCTGAAGGCATATGGATTTCACCAGGTAAAAGATTTACATTCTGTCTTCGGGGGGGCTAACTGCATAGTCATTCCCACTAATGTTTCACAAATTGGTATATTAGTCTCACGCAGAAATGAAATTAAGCAGCACAATGTGAATCTATTTTTTAAAAGCTTGTGGACATAGTTATTCATCTTTGACTGTTTATCTGGAGTTGAAAAAGTCTTGAGTATCATGAAAAGAACAGATGCCAAGACATGTCTGCTAGACTCCTTACTGAAGATCTAAAACAGAGATGATATCCTGGGCTGCTGCAAATACTGAGGGCAGACTGATTTTAGAGTGATAAATGAAGCACTAAACTTGGCAGAAATAGTGATTTCAGACTAAGTTCCTTATGTTTTCATTTTTTTTGTGAGCCTATCCCTTTACAATGGGCAGCCTCTGTGTCACCCACATCCACTGTGCCAGAGCTCCTCCGGGCACTCAGATCTCTCTCTCATCCATCCAGACGTGAGATTCTCCCTACAGACTGAGCCCACTTCCTCCATCATGCTCTGTTATCATTGCATCATGCTCGATTGTCATTGCATCATGCTCAATGTTCATTGCATTGTGCGTTGCTTACAGTCAATGAGGCATAGACTGGCACTTGGAAACCGTAGTAGGATTTGACCTGCAGAGAGCTGAAAAGTATGAGGCTATAAAAAGAGGTTCTGAGTGACCACAGGCCTGAGATGGGGGCTGTGATTGAGGCCTGCGGCTCTGTGGACAGTGCAGTCGATTCCCTGATTTATCTGTAGGGACATGCATGAACTGGGATAACTCTCATATCTGACACTTCAAGAAATTATGATGAAGTTGTGGAGCTGTAGTCCTGGTGTGCATACAGCTGATGTAATACCTACGTACTTCTTTCTAAAACAGTAGCAGTAGAGTATCTAAAGGAAATTTTTAGTAATGCTGCCTGGATTACATTATATCATTTTAAATGAAGACAGGTGAGAAAGACAAAGGATCTGTGTGTTCATTCAACCAACGTGTACTGAGTTTCTCCCCTGTGCTAGGCACTGTTATGGACACTGGAGACACAGTGAACAAAACAGGTAAAAGCCCTGCCCTCAGGAAGCTTGTATTCCAATTAGGGGAGACAGATAATAAACAGTTCTATGAAGTCAGGTGGTCACAATTGCTATGGAAGAAAATAATTCAGGATAAGGGAGCTGAGGAATGCTAGCAGGGTGGGAATTGGTTTCTTAGAGAGGTGGTCAGAGAAGGCTCCTCTCAGAAGGTGATGTTGGAGTAGAGACCTGAAGGAACGAAGAGGGGGCTATGTGGATGGTGGAGGTGGTGGGGAGGCGGGAAGTATGCTCCCGGCAGAGAGAACAGCAGGTATGAAGGCATAGAGGCCAAGGCTCACTTGACATTGTCAAGGAGTGGCAGGGAGGTCAACAAACGAGAAGGGAGATAAGGGCTGAGAATCATGTTGACCCTTATAAGGAACTTGGTATCTAGGTGTTATTTCAAGCCAGGATGAAAGATGAGATCATCTAGACAATGAGATTAGATGGAAAAGAGAAGTGGTCTGAGGTGTGCAGCACATCACTGTTTAGACTGGGCTTGAGGTTTCTTGTCTCAAATAGGGTGGACCGGGGGTGGATTAGATCAGAGGTTCTCAAACATTTTTGGATGTCAGAGAGCCAGACTTTCATAGTTTTCACACCCTCTCACTGAGAATGCCCAGGGCCATGGGCCATTTCTTTCCTTCCCTCAGGAAGGAAAGGGTAATTTCTTATCCTTTTGATAAGAAATTATATGAGCCTTCTGATAAGAAATTATATCAGAATTCAAGAGAATGAATGAGCAGATAACTTACCAAGCTTCTCTGTAGAACAAAGGTAACAAAATAGAGTCTTCCTACTTTAGGGTCATTGGGGAGGGTCTAATGAGGAATGGCTGGGAAGTATTTCCATCAACAGGCCAGATAAGAATGCCTTCCCATAGGAGACCTTGTGACCGTTCACAGTTCAAGCTGCTGCCTCCATCTCCATACCTCTGCCCCTGGGCATCTGGTCTAGTGTCCAGCGTCAGCCCTGCTGCCTCTTCCCTTCCAGTTTTCACCTTGCCTTTCCCACTCCTGGTTCACAGTCCCCATCTTGGACCCACCTGCTTCCAGCAAAACTCTTCTAAAGAGGAAATGATGGTTTTCTAAATAAAAAAAGTAAAGATCAACTTTACTTTTCTTAAGTTTTCTAGCTGATTTGAAGAAATACAGTGGTCAGGGCCAGGTCTCATCTGCTATTACTCTGTGAAACTCATTAATTTTTGTCTCCTTTTCCACTGCGTCCATATATGATTGCACTGAAGATTGAAAAGGAATATAATTTACTAAATATAGCACGCTCAGATGTTTGAGTATCATCTGCATTATTTTTCACTTTTTTCCTCAGATAGACTCACTTTGTGAATTTCTTGCTTTTCCTAAGCAACAATATCCATGGTATCATAGTTTAATAACTATATTTTTTCTAATCATTTTAAAATATGCAGATGGAAGATGAACAAAGCTCCACTTTTATGTTTTTGGGTTTTTTTTTACGTTTAAGCTTAAAAATTGCCAGCAGGACTTTTTATGTATTTCAAGCTTGTAAACAGCTTCAGTAAGGGAATGGGAAATTTTAGCAGTCATTTCATTTTTATAATATTGACAAGCAAGCCAAGGTGGCTTAGCTCAGGACAGGAAAAGAAGGTAAGAAAACAAATGAAGCTTTTCAGGGAAGAGACCCAAGATGGTGGAGTAGACAGACACTGCCTACCTCATTCCATGAACACACCAAACTTACAACTAAATTATAGAACAACCAACCTGGAGAACCATCTGAAGTTTGACTGAACCGAAGTTTTATAACTACAGATATAAAGAAGCCATGAGGAAACTGGTAGGAGGGGCGAAAACTTGAATGGGCTGGTCCCAAACCTCAGTGTGGCAGATGAAAACAGGGAGGGATACCTTGGCCATGAAAGTTCCCCCTGAGGGAGTAAAGGACCCCAGCCCCACTCCAGGCTCCCCGGCCCGGAGTACTGGTAATGGGAAGAGGAGCCCCCAAAACTACCTGTGAAACACAGTGGGGATTCCAACCATCCAGGTGGGATGGAAGGCAGTGGGAAACCCAGACATCCTCTTAAACGGCCCGCGCACAGACTCACTCACTCGCAGGCACTCACCTTGGGCTCCAGCGGAGGGATGGTGACTTGGGGGGTGTCAGAAGCATACAGGTAACAGACTGAGGTGCATGGCTTTGAGGCCAGGGCTGGAGGAGAGTCCTATTTTCCCTGGGAACGGTCCATCTTCTGTGCTGGCAGGCGGCTGCCATATTTAATGTATTGAGCCCTCCCCCTACGCTTACGGCCAAATCTGAATTTCATTGGTCTGATGAGCTCCAGGACTCCACCCTGGACTCACTGAGACCCCATCCCGTCCAACTCCCCCAACACCAGAGGCACTTTCTCGGCGAGCAGCCAGTCCTGCCTGCATTGCACTGTTTCCTGGAAAACTATCAGAGTCCACAAACTCCAGGCAGGTGATACTGGCCTCAGTGTGCTCTGAGAATTTTGCTGAGTAGCTCCAGGCTCAGTGCTAGCACCAAACCAGAGTCTACATTAACCTGGTGACCACAATGCTTCCCACGGTACTGACTCCCTAAGACCCTGATTTACCCAACTTGCATACCACATGAGGCTTTATCAGCAGCTAAACTTTAAGGGAGCCAGCAGGTGGCAGCAGGATTTGGGATGTCCTGGCTTTTTGCAGAGCTACCCAGGCCTGGTACTGGTGGTAGTAATTCTCAGTTCACAGGGTGGCCTCACCCACATGCCTCCAGATTTAGCACAGGCATCGAAAATCCAGGAATTGCTGTGTAGCTCCTACCAGGTAGTCCCCGGCTGGTCACAGGCAGTGGGTGACTCTGCATTGGAGCCCCTCCGAGGCCCCAGAACCAGCATACCTGGAGGTTGGCTTCAGACCACAGCAGAGCACTGCCCAATTACCCCCACAAGCAGCATATACAAAGGGCGGTCTCAACAGGTGCCAGTGCCTGCTGAGCAAATCCCATTCCATGGGGTAAGCCCCCTGCACAGCAGCCCATAAGCTGTGGATGTGGCCAAATCCTGCAGCCAATCAACCTGAGGGTCAGTGCCACCCACTGATGTGCCAATAGCAATCAAAGCTCAACTATAGTAGGAGGGCACACACAACCTACACAAGGGACACTCCTGGAGCATCTGGAGCAGGTAACCAGGGAGACTGTGCCAGGGCCCCACAGGACACCTACTACATAAAGCCACCTGGCCAAGACTGGGAGTCATAGCAGATCTATCTCATACATAAAAACAAACACAGGGAGAAAGACAAAATGAGGAAACAAAGAAATATGTCCCAAATGAAAGAATAGGAGAAAACTCCAGAAACAAAACTAAATGAAATAGAGGCAAGCAACCTACCAGATACAGAGTTCAAAACAATGGTTATACGGATGCTCAAGGAACTCAGTGAGAACTTCGACAAAGAGATGGCAAGCATAAAAAAGGACATAGAAACCACAAAAATAAAAAAGTAGTCAAAGTGAAGAATACAATAACTGCAATAAAGACTGCACTGAAGGAATCACCAGCAGACTAGATGAAGCAGAGGACTGAGTCAGTGAGTTGAAAGACAAGGTGACAGAAGACACCAAATCAGAGCAGCAAAGGAAAAAGAATCCAAAAATATGAGGACAGTTTAAAAGACTATGGGACAACATCCAGCATAACAACATTCTCATCACAGGGGTACCAGAAGGAAAAGAGAGAAAGCAAGGGATTGAGAACATATTTGAAGAAATAATGACTGAAAGCTTTCCTAACCTGGTGAAGGAAATAGACATACAAGCCTAGTAAGTGCAAAGAGTCCTAAACAAGATGAACCCAAACAGGGTTCCAAGACACATCACAATTAAAATGGCAAAGGTTAAAGACAAAAAAAGAATCCTAAAAGGAACAAGAGAAAGGCAACTAGTAACTTATAAGGGAGCTGATGTATCAACAGAAACTTTGCAGGCCAAAAGGGATTGGCAGGAAATGTTCAAAGTTATGAAAAGCTACAACCTACAACCACGGGTGCTCTACCTATCAAGACTATCATTTAAAATCAAAGGACAGATATAGTACTTCCCAGATAAGAAAAAGCTAAAGGAGTTCATCACCACCAAACCAGTATTACAAGGAATGTTACAGGGATTTCTTTAAATGGGGGAGAAAAAAAGAGATCAAAATTATGAATAATAAAATGGCAATAGATACATATCTATCAATAATACTTTCAATGTAAATGGATTAAATGCTCTGATCAAAAGACATAGGAGGGCTGAATGAGTAAGAAAACAAAACTCTTAAATATGCTGCCTACAAGAGAATCACTTCAGATTGAAACACACATACACAGATGGAAAGTAGAGACATGGAAAAAGATATTTCATGAAAATAGAAATAAAACAAAACAAAACAAAAAGCTGGGGTAAAGAGTGGACCCAGTAATCCCACTTCTGGATATTTATCCAAAGAAAGCCAAAACACTACTTGGAGGGGACATGTGCATCCATATATTTATTGCAGCATTGTTTCCAATGGCCAAGATGTGAAGGCAGCCTGGGTGTCTGTCGATGGATGAATAAAGAGGAGGTAGTACATATATACAATAGAACATTTTTCGGCCATGGAAGGGAATGGGTTCTTGTCATCTGTGGCAGTATAGGTGGACCTGGAGGGTATTGTGCTGAGTGGAGTATGTCAGACAAAGACAGATGCAATGTGATTTCACTTATATGTGGAATTAAAGAACTAAATAAACAAACAAACAAATCAGAAACAAACTCATAGATACAGAGAACATTTTGATGGTTGCCAGGTGGGAGTGTGGGTGAAAAAGGGAAAGGGATTAAGAAGTACAAATCGATTGTTATAAAGTAGCCATGGGGATGTAGGGGTATAGCATAAGGAATATAGTCAATAATATTGTAATAACTATGTATGGTGTCAGATGGGTACTAGATTAATTGTGGCGAGACATGGGAAGGGGTTTATGGGGCAGGGTGAAACAGATGAAGGGATTAAGAAGTACAAATTGGGGGCCGGCTGAGTGGCTCAGCTGGTTAAGAGCTCACTTGGGAGCACCAGCTCTGAACAATAGAGCTGGGGTTCGGATCCCACATTGAGGGCCAGTGACGCTCGCCCTCTACAGCTAAGATGATGAACAACAGCTCAACCTGGAGCTGGGCTGCTGTGAGTCGCTGGCGATGGTGTAGGCTGCAGTGGGGCAGCAGTGGGCTGCCATGAGCTACGTGATTGGCTGGCAGCCAGCGTGAGCTGCTGGGAGCCACTGTGAGCAGCCAACCAATGACCGGCGACCGATTGCCTCACCCGGGAAGAGCACAATGATCATACCAACTTGGGCCAGTGAAGCGACATCCTCCACAACTAGACTGAATAACAAAACAGCAATTTGCCTGTCTGTTCCCCTTCCCCGATTCCCCAACTCTGTTCCCCTCCCCCCAATTCTCCCATTAAAAAAAAAAAAAAAGAAGTACAAATTGGTAGTTATAAAATAGTCATGGGGATGTAAAGTAAAGCATAAGGAATGTAATCAATGATATGGCAATAAATATGTATAGTGCCAGGTGGGTACTAGAGTAATCAGGGGATCACTTCTTAAATTATATAAATATCTAACCACTATGCTGTATACCTGAAATTAATATAAAATAATATTGAATGTCATCTGTAATTGAAAAATTAAAAAGGGGGACGAAGGTGAAGGGCAATAAGGTCCAAATTTCTAGGTATAAAACAAATAAGTCATGGGGATGTAAAGTATAGCATGTAGAATATAGTCAATAATATTGTGATAGCGTGGTACAGTGTCAAATTGTTGCTGGATTTATCATGGTGATCACTTCTTTAGGTATATAAATGATGAACAACTATGGTGTACCCCTGAAACTCATATAATATTGTATGTTAGCTAGATTTTTAATGAAAATCTTTTTTAAAAAAGAAAAAAAGACAATAAATACACAAAAGTTGAGTTACATCTGAAGTGAAGTACAGTTTATGAATTATTCCCATTTATATTAACTATGATTTATGACTTCCCACAATGATTAAAGTTTCACATCAAGGTTTATATTTTGGTTGTGGTGAAATAATTTAACATCAAGAAAATCTTTATCTTTCTAGGAAAACACAAAAGAAAAAAGAATTCTCAGTTTTGTGATGGAGAATGAAATAAAGCACATGACCCTCTCAGCTTGTTTCATTACTTATTGTAGCCAAGGCTTTTACTTACTTCACCAAGTTGCAAGGTTCAATTTTCTTATGCTCAGAAGGCTGTACCCAAATAAACAAAGGACTTTTTAGGTCCAATGGATTTGATGTGTTAGTTTCTCATTAGTCGAAAATTAATTCCCTTGAATGTTCTTAATGCTACAGAACTGTACTTTTAAAAATGAATAGGATGCTAAACTTTAGGTTATGTATATTTTACCACAAAATAACACCAAATTCCTTTTTAAAGGAAGACTCGTGTTTTTATATATATATTTTTTCCCTTCTCAAAGAGCATGCTTTAAAAACAATTTTTTTTCTGTTTTATCTTTTTTAAAACAAAAAGAAATTCCTTTCTGAGCCACCTAAAATCATGTGTAAGTGCCACATTTTCACACACATGGTTCGAGAGCATGTGGAGATACAGCTGAGATCGCTCTAGGAATGTACTGTTATTCTGTGGAACCTGGCAGGTACTGTCATGTTTACACTGGTACCATGAAACCGAGTTTACACAGTATGTCAGAGGACTCAATTTAAAGCAGATAAGTGCTATGACTGAGGAAAATGAATATTTATTGAATTCTTACTATCTGTTGCACACTGTACTAGGCACTTTGAAAAAATGATTTAACCCTCATTATAACCCTATGAAATATTCTTAAATATCTAAATCCAGGGAACCAGCCTGAGAGAGGTTTAGTAATCAGCCATGGAGCTGTACAACCAGGTAGCAGTAGCGCTGGCTTCAGGTACGGCTGACACCAGGCTTTCCCCACAGCACCCATGTGACTCCGTAGGGGCCAGAGGGCGTCAGATAGAAACCAGGCGTGCCTCTAAGGAAACTGCCAGAGTCACTCACTAGCATTTGTTTCTGAGTTTTCTAACAGAAGAAAGAATCCACAAAGAAAACACAAGATGAAGAAATAAAACAAACAGATGAAGAGAGAGCCAAGCAGATCTGTAAGAGCTGGAAAGAAGATTCTGAGTGGCAAGCATCTCGTGAGTACCCAGAGGCCTCTCGCAGCAGATTCGTTCGTGTAATAAAATGAGCAATCTAGAAAGTACTTAAAGTGGTGGCTGAGGGATGTTTTAACACTGAATTGTTACCCAAAGGCTTACGAACCACTTGTTGAATAGCAGAAAGGTTCTCAACTCATCTTTGTACCATCCAAGTTATGATATAGCAATATGATGGAGTATAAATAGCTACGAAAAAAACATGTTTCAGAAGAGTGTTTTATGACCTTGGAATATGTTACATCTTTTTAGCTTGCAGAGAAAAAAACATAAAATAGTATGAAAAATACTCCTATTTCCAAATATCTAGGTATATGAAGGAAAAGAAGTGGGAGGCTATTAACATGTTAACATTAGTTTTATTGGACAGGTGGGATTCAAGGTTACTTATTTGAATCCTTCTTGTTGTTATTCTGTAGTTGTCTAAATTTTCAATAGGGAACACAACTTTGTAATCAGAACACAGGAATAACAGGCTGGATGTCTTAGCATCCCTCTCCTGACGCCTGTGACCCAACCCTGACTCCTTTTTGAGTTAACACTGCCAGAGATAACCCCCTCGGAAAGAAGTCAGTGCAGGTGAAGGCAGAGCAGAGCATGTTGAAGATGCTAAGTGAATTCAGGTTTGAAATAGGACTAGGGTTTCCATCTGACTCAGGCAAAGAAGCCTCAGCTGCCACATCAGCCCTGGAGGCAGCTTGAGGAAGAGGAGTAGCAATGTTCGCAGGATGCTGAGAATCCTGAAATGATCTTCAGTTCCATTACAAAGACAATTTTTGTGAAATGAAAATATTTGCAAGACCAAATCACTTCTGTGCAGTGAAATCCGAGCGTAATGGAACATCTTTGGCATCTCATTGAAGTCAAACATGAAAGCATTTGACCAATAATGCCTGAAATGTAAATGCACTCCATAAAAATGATTCTTACATCCTGCATTAGAGTCCTTTAATAGTATGTTGCTAAAACAAAAGCAAAATAACACAGTAAACCCTCTATTTTACAAGGAGATGTTAAAAGGCAGCCTTGGGGTACTGTGATGTGTACCAGCATATTCTCCGATTGTCTGTGGTAACAGTCACTTAACTCTGATCTGGCAGGCCGATTCACAAATGAGTTCAGCGCACAGTGGCTCTGAGTGTGACGTGCGGTGAGCCTCACTCACTGCTTGTTCACCTTGTGCACAGGCTGAGCCACCGAGGAAGGAGTTCCTGACAGCCTGATCTTTGCTAGTGAGTCAGGGCAAGTGACATCTTGAACTCGAGTGTGTGAATGATATGACATCACCTCTTATTATTCAAAGACCCCCCTGCCAACTGGAATCCTCACTCAGGCTGTGACCCATCACTTAGTCTTACCAACTGCAGGAGCTTCTCAAACAAATAATTCTACGTTTCTATCTTGTCCCTTCTTCCTCCTCTTCCTCTTCTCTCCTTGTCAGAAAATCCCCAAACTCCCATAGAAAGAGGAATTCTGCCATGAACGTTGGGCAGTTGTGCAAGCTCTAACTATCTGAATAATAGGCATTGATAGTGATTGCTCATTATTATCAGCAGATGACAGAATCTGTTCACCAGCTGCACTGCTGATTCTCCTGACCGTCTCTGTGGGCTGATGAGGGCCTGTCTCAAACCCTTTTTGTTTTTTCTAGTGCGAAAATCCAAAGCAGCTGATGAGAGGAGACGCTCCTTGGCTAAACAAGCCCGGGAAGACTACAAGAGGTTATGCCAAATAGGAAGAAGTGGTGAGGGACTGCAGTGTGTTCCACAGAAACCAAAAAGACCCCCGCTTCCACCCAAGCCTAAGTTCCCAGTCCCAGATGTATTCCTTCAAATGTCTCTTAGGTAAGAAGTCTTGCAGGTGGCCTTAAAAATAAGGGTTGAAATGAGCTGAGTAAGGACAAATTGCATGATGAGCCTCAGGAAGTGGAGGGCCAGCTGGCTGGCTGTGTAACTAAATTCAGCCTCACCTCTAAGCCTATCTTCCTGAGATACCTGGTTTAGCATTCATCCTCTTCTTATCTGTAAAATATCCACAGTGGTTACAATTAATATACCCAACAATACCTTTTGAACATGAGCATTTGAGTTCGCTAATTTCCTGTGCCACTAGCCCACCTCCACCTGGTGGCAGCAGTTGAACCAGTGAAGGGACAAGGGGACCCAATTCCCAGTATCGTTCTTAATAGTGAAAGATTATCACAATAGGAACCTGAGGGCTAGCTGACTTTCATGTCAGCAGTAGAGCTTCATTTTCATTGCTCAGGGTTAAAGGTTTGATGGTAATTCTCACTCTGGGATACACAGCCACACTCACATGTTGAGAATTAGGAAATGTTCCTTTTTTGAATGAACTTATTTGGTGAGGATGGTACCTTTGCTTCCTAGGTTGTGGGTAATTAGGCAAAACAACTTGTTTTGAAAAATCTCTAAAGAAAAATGCCATAATATCATAGCAGACGCCCCCTACCCCTTATGTTAACTGATTATAAAATCCTTTTCTCCTCCTGGTTATTGATATATGATTTTTTTCATGTTATAATAGATAGAAGGGTGATATTTACTATAACGAGAAATCAGATATTGATTAGATGAAACAGAGCTGTCGAAAGCCTTGCCTTGTGAAATAAAAACTAAAAATACTCCTCTGGTAGAGGCTTGATCATTGCACTGTACACCTGAAGCTGATGTTGTATAATATTGTATGTCAACTATAAATGAATACATATATATATATATATATATATATATATATATATATATATATATATATATATATACACACACACACACACACATATATAGTCATGGGACATGGAGTATAGTGTGGGAGTGGAGTCAAGGGAATTGTAATAGATATGTATGATATTGGGGAGGAAGTGGGGCGGCAGATTGGGGGAGGGGAGTTGTCACTTGGAGGGGTAAAGAGTATAACTAGTGCACTGTGTTGTACAGCTGAAACTAGTTTAAAAAAATGTGTATTTCACAAGAAAAAAATATATTTAAAAAAAAATACTCCGTTATGAGAATGGGAAATAAAACAACAACAAAAATTTCCCTTTGTTTGGAGTCATCTTCAGGGTTTTTTCTTAATGGGGATTATGACCTCAGAGGAAACATGAAGGTGGGCCTTTTCCTCTCCTGTAATTATTTCTATTTACTCAGCGGAAAGGTTCCATTTTGGGACTTGGGGACCAACGCTAAATGACCATGTTCTACAAAGTGACAGTTTGGGCAATGGTTTTTATGGACAACAAAACAAGAAAGGTAGTCAGGAAACCGGTCTCCTTGCAGTTTTGTGACCAGGTCACAAAGGTGTGAGCTGCTGCACAGGGCCCTCTCCGGTGCATGAGCTTGTCTGAGTGCATTGGCCATGGACTTGGCAGGGTGGTTTGTGCACCCACTCCTGCTCCCCAGGCTCTTCCAGGGGTGGGAGCCTGACTCATAATGTGCCCTCACCTGCAATATTTTTAGAGTATACTAAAATATTGTATGTAACTGACAGCAATGAAGGTGGCCTTTAACAAGGGTAATTCTTGTTTTAAGCTGAGCTCCGTTAGCTCATTTTTTCCGACTTAAGACATTTGCATGAAGTGCTTCTTGTGAGGCAGCCAGACTGGATGGTTTTAGGGCTGGCACTTTAAAGAGGGATGACCAAAGTCAGGTACAAGCCAGCCCAGGAAAACACAGACTAGTTGTCTTTGGGAGTTTTTGCTTGATCTCTAAAGACTTCCCACAGAAAAAAAACACACCCTAATTTGAAAACTAATTATATAATCTCATGTATGTGTAGTGTCTCCTCCCCCAAAAAGTCAAATATTATAGGCTATTTTCTCCAGGATGCTATACATGTATGTATAAGCATATGTACATGTATATCTGTCCATCTGATAATATGTCACATGTAACTCATGGTAGCATGTTACCATAAAAGTCATGAAGAGCTATAAGTTTACATGACAGGACATTCCAGTAGCTCATTCAAACTCACTGTTGTTTTTACATTGAATTCTGCTCAAAATTAATGGGCTGTTGCATACAACTTGGAAATAACGTTCATTACCTTGCAGTGGTACTTTTTATAATGGAAGTTGACTAAATCCAAGAACTTAAGTTCTACTACTAAATTGATTTCCAAATGCTTCTGCTGCATATATCTTTTTCTTGAAACACTCTTCTTTCTTTAACTTTATATTTCTCAGGCTGTCTTTTAACAAAACTAACCCTCTTCAAAGTGTGGGAGAGAAGAAACCAAGTCAGGGAGGTTAGTGACAGAGAAAGAAGAAAAATCGAATAATAAAAATGTTAGGAACGAAGTTTATTCTATTGCATTTGATTTATTGTGTTTGCAAGTAAGCTCTCCAGGAAAACAGTGCTGGGGGGTGGATTGCACTTTTTAATGCTTATTTTCTCAAATTTTAATTGGGAGTTAATGGAGCTTCTAATTCATACTAAAAATAAATTAAAATCTATGTGTTAGCACAGCAGTAGCTCATACCCAAGACTAACCCTATAGGACTGGAAGGACAAATGACAGACTTATGTCCCTTCCTATACTCTGCTCTTGAGGAGTTGCATAATGTCAGTGTGTAAGGGTCCAACCTCCCATTAGCTCAGCACATGTAATTAGATTTCAAATGTCTACAGCTCTCATTCTCTCTCTTCCTCTCACTCTCTCTCTCTCTCTCTCTCTATATATATATATATATATTTTTTTTTTGAAGGCATTATTTTCAAATTAGTTAAATCTAACTCGAAAACTGGTTTTATAAATAACAGAGATAAAGGAGTGATGAGGACAGCATTCAACTCTTCCCGGGAGGACATCATCCGATGGTTTAAAGAGGAGCAGCTACCTCTGCGAGCATGCTATGAGAAAAACTCAGACACCATAGCTATCTGGTTCCATGGTGAGTACAGAGGTTCCCTCAATGGAACCTCATGTGATGGCAAATGAAACTGCTAACCAGGAATGCAAAAAGAATAAAGTCTTCCTTTTATTCCGGCTGCTCAAGAAGAGTCTTTGAAATGATTTATTTTCACAGAGCAGGTTTTCAAAGGTTTCTCAGTGAGCTGCATTCTCATGATGCATTTAGAAAGCAGTCAGCAGTCATCGTTACTGCATGCCCTATGGGTTAATTTACCACCACAAATAAGACACTCCTGGGTGGATAGGGAAAGCAGTGCCTCCTATTTACTTACAGCAGGGCACTTGAGTGTGACTTCCATCAAATGGCACTGCCTTTGGTCCACGTTCCATCGAGGAAGAGTCCAATATGGCCATTGGGTGTGGTGGGCAAGGCATTGGTCAAGCCGTTCAAGCAGTTGAAAGGTTAGCGCTCCCATAACTACTTAAGTGACCTTGAACAAATCATCTTTCTCTGTAGCAAATCAATTTATCTGAGCATCATTTTCATCTATTAAGTGAAGGAGTGAAACTTGTGATCTTTAACTTAAAAATTCTGTGTTATTTCCAGTACATAGTTAAGGCTGCAAGGTGAGTTTGCTGGGGCCTAATCAGATATCAGCTAATAAACCATTTCTTTATTTGACCCTAGAAAGCTGATTAATTCAAGCCCTCTACCCAGCTCACATTTCAATGACTTCTCAATTTCTTAGACTTCAAGTAAAGAAAGTGGATTTTTGCCTCAATTGGCTTCTGTAAAGTCTGTGGCTAAATTGGACTAATCGGCTCTATGCACAACAAAAGTATTTTAAGCAAAAGCAAAGTTTTCACACAGAGGACACTTGTCCTAAAGGGTATCTTGGTTTGAATTATGTTTAAGTTTCTCTCTTTTAAGTAATATCATCTGACAAATAAATATATCCACAAAAATAAGCTCCCAAACACATAACATAGCAAACTCTTTAAAAACAAATTATCTGGGGGTAGACTTTCTGGTAGAGGGCTGCTTTTGCAGTCAGAACATTACTGCAGAACTCTCTCGTTTCCCTGGAAAACGTGTGCTTTGGCAATTCAGGCTTTGGTAAGTGTCCTTTCCTAGAAAAACTCCCCTCCCTCCTAGCACCAAGCTATATATGCCTCCTTCCTTTCCATTTTGTTCCAAAGACATTGGCAGAAAGGGTGATAAGTGTCAAAAGATGAACAGAACATGCTTCAATTACATGTTAGTCATGGCTATCACCGTTTGTCTTATATTGCCTTTTCTATTTTCCTTTTTAAGATAAGAACTGAGGAAATCAGTCACTTTGTAGTTTCTGTGTCATTGGGCAGAAGAGGCTGTCATCCCTGATTATAAGGGTGGTAGTTTATTTTAACAGCAGGGAGTGAGAAATTGAAAATGTTAGTTGATGTTATTAAAAATCCTGGTATTTTAACAGGCAGTTCTGTTTGAAACAGTTGCGAAAAGCTTGGAAGACGCAGTTGGACTATAAACCCAGTTGGAACTTTGGTTGAAAAATAAGACTCTTTGAGTTTTTCATATAATAACTTATTAATTGCTTTGCTATTAGTTTATTTTTATTTATACAAATATTTATCATAGTCATAAGCAAAATAAATAACATACAATATACCCGTAACAATGTAATAAATACACAGCCATGTTGTCAATATAAATCAATGTCTTTAGTTTTAAGAAGACAAAATTTCACATATTTCTATCATAAAGAGAAGACAGATGACATTTCTTCTTGAAGTATAATTGTTTATTTATCTCAAACCCTGTTTTGAAATATTGGGATGGAAGATCTTCCTTTCATTGTCATATACTCCATAAATTACCCTTCTTAAGTTACTGCTTTAGTCACCTAACTCTTTACCCCACAGAAGTTGATACGTCCACCCTTTTCTCTTAATTATCTTTAGATAAGGATGGGCATGGCTAGGAGAGGGCAAGGGAAATGAAGACTACTGGATCTCTGGTTTGTGGGGCTGGGGGGAAGGTGGGGTGCTGTCAATTGAGAGAAGCAACATAAGAAGATGAGACTTAGGGAAGGGAAAAAGGGGGAAGATAATGAGCTCATTTGGGATAAGTTGAGTTTGAAATATCTTTGGGGCAGCCATGTGAACTATCCGTTTGGCAAGGATTAATGGATCAGTGCTAGAGAAGTGCAATGGCAGAGAAAAGTGGAGATCCCAGATCTGTGTCAGGTCTCTTTTCCCACTTGGGGTCAAAATGAGGCAAAATTGTATACAGCTTTGAAATGTCCTGCCATGGGTGCGTGCCCTGTGATGCCAGTTTTGTAATCGGTGAAACAGGGTATTGCCTCTGAACTCCTAGATGGAGGAGCTTGATGAAACATCCCAAATGCAAGAGAGATCCTGAAATGAATTACGGAACTCGACTTCCTGAGCATCTTTTCATGATCTTGAGCAAATCTAGATCTGCAGTCTCCCCACATCTACTCTCTCAGCAAGAATTTAAAGCTTTTTTCACAGAGACCATGGTCTCAATTTTCACTGGACTTTTGGTCCCACTGGTGATGTGGGGCTTGTGGGAGAAGACATTGAAAATATCCTCACATTCTTTTTTATGTTTTGCTAATTTTCCTGAGAGCCAAAGCACATCTCTAGCTTTCACATGGGTCAATTTGGTGTTAAGACTCAGACGGACTGATCAAGAGGACTTGCCGGCCATCTCTTGGTTGCTTCCCATATGCCTAGTGGGCTGGAGACCAGGGATCTAATCCCAGGTCATATGCACTCATTCCTGCCCAGGATGCTTTTCCACCTGCTCCCTGGGAAGTCGGACCTCCCTACAAGTTCGTAGCGCAGCTCACTACACTGTGCAACCACAGAATCATGGAATTCCCAACAGTTTTGGTAGAAGGCCTTGTGAAGCGATTTTGCAGTTGGTATTTTTCTAAGTTTTTAACACATTGAGGACAGGGCATTTAAATTGTTTAAATGCATGTTCCTGGGGCTTAAACCATAGAAATCAACTTTTATACTGTGTTTCTTTAAAAATGTATAACAAATTCGCTAGCTATTTTTGTGAACTGAAATTTTCAGGAAATACTCACCAAAGACCCTAGTAGTGCTTGAGGGTGTGGTATCTCTGGAAACATTCCCCATTGTGGAGTGGAACTAAGCAGAATTTGCAGATGTACCGAGTTTCACTTCTTTTTTTGTGGGCAGCACAAATATGGCACCTCCTAGCAGGATATTTTCTTTTACCCCATTCACTTCCAACCGTTTTCTCTAGCACATGTTTGCACGTATCACCTGAAAGTCTCCCAGGGCGGGGGTCCTCATGAGGCATATGAGGGGTTTGGGTTGATATTCCTGGGTGTGCTGTGTCTGTGTCTGAGTCTGCCTCCACCTTATCTGTAGCCTAGTCTTTTGCCACTTATAGCAGAAATTCTTCATATCTCATTTTTGATGTAGGGTTCAGTTTTTGATAGATTCAAAAAGAATTGAAAAGTGCACAATTTATAAGCCAAAATGCAACTTTCTTTGGCCACTTTACTGTTTTTCTCAAGAGAGAATAATAAGACAAGCACTGATCTGCCCTATCGACACCCTTTATGAACATATTATTCTGAAAAATACAAATAGGTTTTTTTCTTTACTTCTTCATTTCTCTGTGGAACATCAACCATTGTTGAATCGTGAATTGTGGAAATCGTGTTGAACACACGAGTATCCCTCCAGGATTGAAGAAGAGTTTCACCCTTTCTCCTGAATGTGGTTTCGCCACGTTTTAGAGACTGTGATTAGTTTTTCATTTCTGGACGAAGACCCCTATTCACTCTGATTGTTCCATATATTCTAATTTGTCTTGAAAGGACAGCTTCAGCAATTGCATGATTTTAATGGTTGTCTTGGTAGAAATGGTAATTTTGATCAAGATAAGGTTCCAAAAGGGTGAAAATAGTTTCCTGTAATTTTTTTTCCTTCACCAGCATAAATTTCTAAATTCAAGATATAGCCTGAGGTGCTTTCTGTGACCATACGAACAAGTAAGCCATACTTTATAAGTTTACCTGGGTTATATGTTCGTATACGAAGCCTACCCCTCCAAGGAATCATTGCTTCATCTAAGGAAAGTTGATTTGGCTTATAAATAGTCTGAAGTCTTTCAAGGAAAAAATCCAATAAGGGTTAAATTTTGAAAAGCCTGTTAGCTGATTGTTGCAGAAGTTCATTGTTGTTGAAATGTAACCAGCACCAAATTTGTTCAAATCTATTACGGCTCATAAGTTTCCTGAAAATAGGAGTATCTAAAAATGGATCCGTAGGCCAATAATCCTTTAGGTTATCTTTCCTGACTTTCCCCATTAGAATAATTATTGAAAAAAATTCTTTCATTTCTGCTACAGTAACATCTGACCATTTCAACCCCTTAGAACCAATAACATACTTTTCCTGATTTTGTAAGTAATATAGATTCGTTTCCTCACACAACATATCAAAGAATCTGTCTCTAAAAAAGAGTCCTGTTACTTGTGATACTTTCGTCGGGTCAGAGGGAATTTGTTTCATCCCTGGGTTTCTGGTAAATGGCCCTAAATTTGGTATTTTATCTGTTTTTACCCACGTGGAAACCGCCAAATCTAGTATCATCATCATCGTCACTTTCGTTTGCTCTTTGTTCACTGTCACTGTAACTCGGTAAAGGATGCACAATTTTGTTTTGCCTATTTCCAATAATAGAAGAATCACTGTCATTTTCACTGTCACGATCAGCGTTGTCAGGAACATCAGATAATGTGTCCGCCAACAATTCCGCTGAAATTTCATCTTCTGTAAGATATTTTTTCCCGTAAAACTATGTCTTTCCATCGTGGGTGTAAAGTGGTTGAAATCTGAATGCTGACTAAATGCAGAGCAGATCAACAGAGGAAAATACAGAGCTGTTTGTTCTCTATATTTATCACAAATCATTAACTCTGAGTGAGGTTGTGTTTCTATGAACATTTGTCAGCAGGACCATTCAAAGACTCC